GCCGTGTAGGAATAAGTGAGAAGAGCTAGTAAGGTGAGATTTTTAACTATTTGAGCATAGTTTTTTGCTTCGGATATTTTCTATGAAAATGTGGCAGCCTGGGGAACTCCTCCACCCTAGATATCGCCATTGTTGCTGTTAGTGTCACATTTGTTTTGTTTATTCACTTTGTTTCACTTTCATTGTGATCCACTTGTGACATCAGTGCTGCGCTACTGAAGGTGATATCATGTTAATTCGAGACAGAAATAAATAAATAATTATATATATACTTATATATTTTTAAAATATAAACAATGCTATGCAAATGTGCAATATAATGCGCACACCAATTTAAACAGCGGTGGGTCACGTCCATCAAACCGGCCACGATCAAACCATTATCAAACCAATCTAACCAAACATCGATTTTGTGTAAACACAAAGCCACAAGGTCATCTACTGAAACAAGGGAGAAGAGACTAGCCTGTGAGCGATAACAGAGCTAGAGATGCGCTGGTTATGCGTAACTTTGTAAATCTGTTAAAAAGAGTAGGCCTATTACCTTTGTACGAAGATCAAAACAGGTAAATCATAGAATTCTCTTACAGTACATTGAAGGAAATGTTGTTTGTCTCTAATTTAAGTCGAACTGAGCTATAGTTACTCGTCGAATAAGACATGTGGCTAGGCCATGAAAGAGTACTGAGTAGCAGAGGCCAAGTTAGCTTAGAAATAGGCTAGGGACGCAGTCTAGGCTGTAGCTAGGCTAGACTGGTATCATATCAAGTTGGTAGAGTTTTAGGCCTGGCCCTCTTGGCCTGCAAATTGGGAATTAGCCAGTCGTTTATTAGCTGGCCCTGCCTAACAGTACCGGGAATACTAGTATACCTGTTTTGCAGGCAACTGACATATCCGGGTCGGTGGATGCGATTTTATGGAGAATGCAACACAACGATGCACGCACAGCGAATCGTCTTTAATGACGATCCGTTAGGATGCCACCGGCAATTAGCAGATGGCGATACATTGTCTAAAGCTGGTTTTCCACTAGGCGAATTTTTCGCGCGAATCAAAGGCATCGGTTTGGTTCCTGAGTTCTGATTGGTTGCGCACATTTTTGGCTTTGCAAAAAGTAGAAACAGTTCGGACTACCAATTTCGCTGAAGCGAAAACTCCGATAGAAATTTGAATGCGCATGCGCATGAACGACGTTTTCAATTCGTGTGAATAAATTCGTCTGGTGGAAAACCAGCTTAAAGGCCAACTCAAACAGCGTTGTACGACTCAGCCCAACAGTTTAAGCGCTTTCTAGTCAAAACAGCAATAAACCAAAACGGCAATGACCGAAACAGCAATTATGTCAAAATGGCAATAAAAGTTTGAGTTATCCACTAATTAACAACAGATTACCACAACTATCTGTGTTTTCTAACATAAATGTTTATTTTATATCAACATTACAAATTTAACAAATTTAAATACTATTAAAGTTTTTTTGGAATATACGTGTAACAAGTGCAATATCGATTATTTATTTTATTTAAATTGGTTTATTTGTAAATAACAATCATATAATTAATATTATTTAAAAAAAACACTCAGTTGGCGGTTTTTATCGCTGTTGCTTTCGAACTGAAAAAAAAAGAATAACAAAATATACGGATGTTTATTGTAAGGCTAAACAACATTAAACGCAATTTTGTGCACTATTTTGACAATGTGATGCTAGTCTAAATGGGGTACAGTATTAGGCCCAACTGTATTAGATTTCCATGCATGGTTTTTTTGTAAAGGCTTTGTACGCCAACATCATTGATAAAGTCAATGCACAAAGAAAATTTGTTACAGAAATAAAGATTATGTGTACCGAAATATTCAATGTTACTAATAATAATTTTATGTTGGGTTTTTTGGGGAGCTTTTGAAAAAAAATTCAGTACAATTTTACAAAAATCCTGAGACTACTATTGGGATATATTCTTGTATATAATACATTTGATTATATATTGACTTATATTATATTTATTTGTTATTATTATTATTATTGTTATTGCTATTATTATTATTATTATTATTATTATAAAGAATAGGTTTATTTATAAATAACAATTGCATTATTATTATTATTTTATATACATAAGATATTTAAAAAAAACTTAGTGATTTGCTCTTGGTTTCGAACTGAATCGAAAAAAAGAAAAAAATATACGGATATGTTATTTGTAAGATTAAACATTAAACTTACGCAATTTTGTGCACTATTTTGACATACCAGTATTTTTTTCTTCTTAAACGGAAACCAGGAAGGTGTAGCTGTTTGCATGCAATACCATTGTTACCTTCATCTTTCATTTTGAACTTTGATCAGCAAACCAGAGTGATAACCAGGTACACTTGACAATCCAATTAATCAAAACCAGGATTTGAAACCAATAAGTTATGATCTTTTCAACCAAAGGAATATTAGCATGTCATTCCAAAACTAGCTTACTGTTATTATTAAAAATGTTAAACTGAGTAATTAGAATAAGTGGTAGTATTGTTTACTTTTGTAGAGAGAGAAGCCATAATACTTTTACAGTACACATAACTTTGGCAATAGTAAGTCTATTCCAGTAATTGACCTATCATTTTATCTTATGATGTGGAGAATATGAATATACTATTAAAAAGTAAATTTGTTTATATTGGTCACTAATGCTGGTTTGGTATGGCAAGCCCCATATTGTCAAGCTTCACTAATATAAAATAGTTCATATTCAGTATTACTGTAAAATGGGGGATGATGGGGGGGGGGGGGGGGAATGTGAAGGTGAAGTGGGAGGTCTTGATGAATTAGTGAGAAGCACTAGCATAGCTGGAAAAATTAATTAATATGGGGATTTTTAACCTCTTGAGCATAAAGTTAGGCTTCAAAGCTTTTTTTGCAGTGATGCAAGGCTTTTTTTGCGGGGGGGGGGGGGGGGGGGGTAGTGCGTGTTCCCCTCTGCACACCCATGTAGATATGCCATTGGTGAAATATGAAGGGGAAAAAAAAACAAACATATCATTTTGTTTTCCAAACTTTGCGAAGATCGATACAAGAACAAAGTTCAAGGTGACTGGAAACAATGAATGAAATCTAATAGTTGTGGTCTGTGGAAATGTCATTACACAGTAGCAATGCTATGTTTCTCTTCAGTCACAGTAAAGCAATCTGAAATAATCTTGTTTTTGAGTGGAGATCAAAGAATGAATTGATAGTGATACAATCTACAAACTGACTTGCTGTACTGTTTTAAACTACAATAGTACCAGCTGTATATTGCGTAATAAATGTTAAAAATAAAAAGTAAAAAAAAAAAGAAATACAGAATGTTTTTTTCCAAGTTAATCAATTCATTGGCAGCACGTACCATGGATAATTTTATTTGAAGGACAAAATGAATCATTTCATAGAAAAAATAGGATAGTTTGTCTCACTAATTTGGTTGAATTATAAATTGTGTGTTGTTAATCAAGTTGGCAAATAAATAATCTTGAATACCATTAACATACTTCTCTGTAGACTGTACTTAGATAAAATGATAATGATAGAAATAATTGATAAAGCACCAGTTTCACTAATCCGAGGTAAAAATCAAAGGCCCTGTGCATGTCTAGATGTTAAAAAGGTGTGTTTTGTGTTTTAAAAATAGCAACTGAAGGTGAGCCGGCAATATGTTTAGGGAGGGAGTTCCAAAGAGTGCCAGCTCAAAATATACCGTAAACGATTTGTGAAGGAAGATATTTCCATAATAGTGATTACCCATTAGTCTGCCATAATGTATGAATTGTTTTCATTCTGGAAGTATACAGGTGTATTTATATCTCCATGTTCTTATTACAATTATTACCAGACTCCACTACAAAATAACCTTGTGGTATACACTTAATAAGCCTTGGTAGACATGTCTTATTAATATGCTTTCTTTTCTTGGTTCAATTTTGTCCACACAGACAAGGTGAGAAGCTCACCTGGACCATCATGTTGCGTGTATTTGGTGTGATTGGAGTAGTGGTCCTTCTCCTGGTGCTGGTTGGATCCTGGTGTTGGGAAGCAGCTGTGGAATTCTACACTAAGCCAGTAGTATTTGAAGGTGTTCACCATCCTAATGATCAGGAAGCCCCATATCCTGGAGGAACAATGGACAACTTATGGTGGTTTGTGCATGTAGGTATCCATGTGTTGGACACTAGTCTGTAATTTGTCCTTTGGAAAGGTGGTTAAGCTGATGGTTGTATGTGTAAATAAATAATGGCTTTTTGCACTGAAATTGAGATTGATTTTCTCCAGATTGGTCAACTCTCTTTCTGTTATGTCAGTGTTATGTGAACATGCCTTTAAACATGGTGTATTAGTGTAAGTAATTGCACATATGTAACTTATTGTTGGCAATCCTTTACGTAGTTGCATAAATATATAAATTACAGTAAACATCAAATCAGTGAAGCATGAAGGATTTACTGCATTCATGTAAAAATATTTCACTAGTTAGAAAAGACTAAATATATACTTAATTGATTCTTTCTATGTATTTCAAGATAATTAGATTAAAATAATAAGCAGTAATATAATAATTTAGAATTGTTATTTTTTTATATATTAATTCTACTACCAAAATTAGAGTTCAATAGTGTTTGATAGTGTTTAATAATAATAATAATAATAATAATAATAATAATAATAATAATAATAATAATAAATTAGTAGTAGTAGAAGTAGTAGTAGTAGTTTTAACGAGCTTTTCAATCATTTTTAATACAGTTTGTAATACTTTTATTTTTTATAATTTTTTTTTTAATTATACAAGATTTTATACAGGGGTCTTAACTGTCTGTACTGTGCAATGTTTATCATGTGTCTTCTGTTTTATATTTTGTTGATGTGTGTAAATGCAGTAGATTAACTTTATACATAATTATTTTTATTATTTACTAATTGTTTGCAAGTCTTCAAGAAGAATTTCTGTTATTTTTTGATGGACAAAATTTTTATCTTTGTTGCAGATATCTGACGTACATATATCAAGGTTTAAAGATCCGTCTAGGACTGAACAGTTTAAAGTATTTTGTGATGAAGATATCAATGCAATAAATCCTCCTTTAGTTATCGTTACAGGTAAGAACATATGGAAGTAGCAGAACTGATTGAACCACTTCACTTGTATTGGCAGGAAAGGTACCTAACCACTTAGTCCATTAAAGAAATAGATACTATGTGGAAGTTGATGGTAGTGGTTGGTCTGTAATAATAATAATAATAGATGGATTTTTATAGCGCAAATAAACGAGGTCTCTATGCGCTAGAAGTCAAGAACACAAAGAAAAAAGCCGGGAAAATAATACAATGAAAGACAATTCCCTTCTTTTTTCCTACAAATGTACTTCCCCATGTACTTTTCCCATGAAACAAAAATGATACATAATTGATACAAAATTAAATAAACTACCAAGTTTTATGTAACAATTACCTGTCATTTGCCCATAAATGAATTTATGATATGTCCGTATATGGATGTGATATGATGTAATGAAGTCAACATATGGGTGTAATATGACATCATACTTTTATATGTGCGAATTACTGGTGATTGTAACTTTAAAATTAATATTGTAGACAGAACTTTAAGCAAGTGTAGCAGAGGAAATATAGACTGGTGTTGGATTTGAACCAGCTTCATTTGGAGTAATGTCCTGATGCTTTGCCAACATATTGCCATGGTTGTTCCAAGTGCAGTTTCTTGAAATTGCTCAAGTGGGTTGGAGAAAGCCCTTTCATATTCATTGCAAAATCTAATCAGACACAAAACAGAGCCCCTCCTGCTATATATGTAACTGATTAATATTTTTTTTAAATTTGAATTTTCAGGTGATTTAACAGATGCTAAAAGACCAGACCACATTGGATCAGAGCAGTATGAAATAGAGTGGCAGACATATTGGAGTATTCTGAAGCTAGCAAATATACCACAGAGAACACATTGGGTTGATATACGAGGGAATCATGGTAAGGTGACTCTAGGCCCCCCCCCCCCCATCCGCTCTTTCTATGATTTTGCACAATAGTGGTGAATAGTCCATTCATTAGAAACAATTCCCAACTACTCTTTCTTTTTTTTTCAGATACATTTCATGTCTTGTCCAAGAATCATGAGAATAGCTATTTTAAGTAAGTTCCATATTGTTGTAATTGATTAATTCTAAGAAAAATGGTAACCACATTTTGTTGAATTGAATAATAAAAAATAACATACACATAATACAAATAAAGCAGTAGATGTAGTGGCTTCTAGCTTGCCTATTAAATTCATGCCAATATATTTTTAGTGTTTGATATTTAAATATAACATAAAATATATAAAATCACCTTTTTTCACTTTGTATTTATTCCATTTTTTAATATTTTTTTTCTGTATGTTTCACAGAAAATATTCCATCTCTGGTCAAAAGGGAGACACAGATTCCTTCCTGGTTGAGAAAAAATTTCCATTTGGAACGTATTCATTCATTGCCTTGGATGCTCTGCTAGATCCAGGCCCAGGAAGGCCTTTTAATTTCTTTGGAGTTATGGAAGAGGTAAGAAGATTAATATTAATTACAATACTATGATATATCTGAATACATCTAAATATTGAAAGGATTTTTTCTTATTATATTATCTTTCAGTTTTTAAACTTTCTCATCCATAATGTTGCTTTGTATGTTGTTTATGTATTCAGACAACTGAATGTAATGACATGTCTATTAATTCAAAATGTTTCATATTGCAGCCAGAATTGAAACGTGTAGAAGAACTGTCACAGAAAACATTGAAGAGCAACCAGACCATTTACTTTGGGCATTATCCAACTTCCATTATCATAACCGATCATGCACGTCTTACAAATGTTTTACAGTAAGTTTCTCAGTATATTTATGACGTTAAATTCAATCCATGGATGCCTATGACTTTGACTGGATGTCCCATATCTTGGTCTTACTTCCCTGATATCATTGTGGATTTTTTGCTTTATTAGAAATGGTATTGCATACTTGTGTGGGCATTTGCACAGCCTTATGGGTAACCTTCGTCAAATGAAAGCCTTGCAACGGACGGGGTCGTTGGAACTTGAGGTTGAAGATTGGAAGGACAACCGGAAGTAAGTCATAGAGTCTGTTTTTTAAATATTCTAGTATATGATACCTATAACTAATACTTTATGGGGCCTAAAATCTTTGAAAAATGTTATTCATCAAAATATCAACAATCATCAAAGCAGTGTTTATTGCCGGTAGCTTCTGTTTGTGATCTTATAATATATATTTATAAATTGGGAATAAATAAACTCGAACTGATAGTAATCAAACTTAATAACTAACCAATCAGAACAAAGCCAGGAATGCAGACAAGTCTCACAAATACACATGTTGTCCCATAAACGCACATTGTAATTAATTCTGATTGTTTTTTGTTTTAATTTGTGTGTTTTATAATATGAAGGATAGGGAGCAAACCTTGTTCAGGTTTTCACCCTTCCCCTAATATATGTTACTTTAATTCTGTATATTTTTTGCCAAATAAATTATTATTATTATTATTATTATTATTATTATTATTAACATAATATGTATCAAAGACAAGCCAAACCAGTCACTCTTCGCAAAAATCAATTTTTAGTTATTAATGCAGTAAACAGTAAAATGAGAGTTATAAAATTGTAAAAGAATCTTTTAAATCCGACAATCCGTTATGAAGTTACAGGAGTTTAAACATACAGTTCTGTTTAAAAAACAATATTTGAGAAATCCGCCTTCATAGTTTTATGATTTCGGGAATTTTCAGGCAGAAACCTTCGCAAAACCGTTAAATTGGGGAAAATAACAGCATAGCATAATGTAGATATATAAAGTTTAGTTTAGTGTAATAAAATGTTTAAAATGTTGACATTCCATCATGTTTTGGCCATTATCTCTGAAACAGGATTTGCGACGCACATTGTTTCTTATGTTTTAACACTGTTGTTTTTTGGGACTTGGCAACAATATCCAATGGGAAGATACATTATATATGCATTCTTTGTTGTATACTAATAAAAATTTGTTTTAGGATTACGTAATATTTATTCTACAGATATCGCGTTGTAGCCTTTGATCATGATATGCTGTCATTTGGGGAGAAGCGTTTTGAGGAATGGCCTCTCATTGTAATCACCAACCCAAAGAGTGCTCGTTTTATGGCTCCCAAACACGAACCTGTGGGCAAAATGCAGCATTCAACGCATATACGGTACGTGTTATTATTTACGCTTCCACAGTCACATTGCCAATAGGGTGTCTTTTCAATAGATGATATCAAATAAGAAATATTTTTCAGTGGACATCCTACCAGGTACTAAATTTTTACTCTTAAGGGATGAGAAAAGTAAAACTTCATCTCTTCATCAACCTGCTCTCACTCATAAGCCACAAGTTTCTAACCAACTAACAACGTGCAAGAACAATTCTATATATTAAAAAAGTGAACCATCAAGCGAAGCACATCATTTCAGAGACCATTAAAACCATAATAAGGATTTTGATAGCCACCATTGCATTAAAAATGCACTCACTGTGGATTTGTGAAAAAAAAATCCTTGCAACTTTTTCCAGGATTGAACCCAGGACTTCGGTTTTGGAAGGTGGGCACCTTAACCACCGTGTCACATCTCCATACAAAATCACATTTTTATTTTTTTCTTTCAGTGTGCTTGTCTTTTCACCTGATGCAATTGCCTCAGTGTCTGTGTTTCTTAATGATCAGCACATCGGAGAAGCACAACATGTAGAGGGCCCACTCTATGTATTACCATGGAAACCGAACCAATATGCAAATGGTCTACATCAAATGAAAGTTATAGCTAAGGTAGATATATGCAAATTATATTGATAAATACTATTTTAATATATATTTTATAATTGTTTTAGATTTTTATTGTTAAATGTCAGCTAATCATCATTTCATCAGTTAATAATTATTTACTATTGATGATTGATTGATTGATTACTATATTGATTAATAAATTATTCATCAGTAATGATTTGTTGAAGGTTAAACATACATACAGCATAATTATTTTGACTGACCTTGTGTGTTACTGGATCAGGAGTCAACTCTGTTGACCTTATGATCTGATGGGGGTGTTGTTGAGAGGTTGCAGTTCCAGTCTTTTGTCCTGGTAGTATGACCTTACAATAGGATATTTAAATGATTATTTTATTATATATGAAATATATATATATGAAATATATAAATATGTATATTTTGTATATTTCAACAGGATGCTGCAGATCATATATCAGAGTCTATTCAAGAGTTTTCTCTTGATGGCAGCAGACCCTTGCAGTGGTTAGGAGGAGCAATCGTCCTTATGACAGATGTACCAGCATTGGTTAGTTTCTATATTTGTTCATGCTCCAGTAGATAAAAATCATCTTATATCGCCTTATATTGCAAGCTAGTGCCCCCTCACTTAATCCTCGACCACCTCACCATCGCGCCCCATCAGTCCCCCTTTTTTCAAGACTCCTAGATACACTCTTCCCACCAAACACAAGATCTCCGTGTTTGGTAACGCAACGATTGACTGCCGTGTTTCAGGTTTTTTTTTAAGGAATCCGATAGATGGGGTAATTATTTGCTTACATTGAGCGTAGCGGTATTGATGTACTTTCACGAAATCGCGATTATCTCAGCTTCGTTGTGCGAAATTACGTAAATCTCCAAAAGTGAGTCATTGTCATTTTACTGTTACGGGTCACATATTGGGATTAGAATAAAGTGTTTAGTACCATTGTAAAGCTAAGATGTTTGTAGTTCTTGTAGTATTCATTAGATGTCAATCTGATCACATACGCACACTCTCAAAAAGCTTTGGAAAAGTGTTAAAATTCCCTAAAAATTCTGGCGGTGGCTGATACTATTTTTTCAAACCCCTGGCGGGGAAGATCTTATTGAATTTTGCTGCAAATCCTCATATCCATTGCTAGCTAACAACATATAATATATAAGAATGCATGTTTTTCTATTTCCACAGTTTCTATCACTATACGCTATTGAAATCGTTCTACTAGTTGTTCCACTTGTTGTGTTGCGCAGAAATTCTAGACCAATTCCAAGTAAGTATCAAGTATTCATTTTATGCTAACTTATTTTTTTAAAATATCTTTATTGTCTAATTTTGATTTTCAATTGAAAGTGTAAACGATAATTTGAAAATATGATATTGCTGACCTTTGCTTTTGGTATGTTAATTTATATGATGTAACGCACCTAACACATATAATTCTTGTTCTTTTAGGCTATCACCATGATCCAGTGTCAAGAGCCTTTATATATCTAGTTCACCATGATTTCTTCTTCTATTCACTGATTTTAATTGGAATTTTTCCAGTATTTGGTAAGAACTATCAGTTACACAACATATGATCTTATGATAAAAATACCTTTTATTTACAACAGGGACGTAGACTGGTTTCGACCTGGGGGTGGGGGGGTGCGAAAATTGAGAATGCAAAACTAAATCCTATTCCAATGAAATAGGATTGGTCGTTTTTAGTATTTTAACCTTTAGTGAAACTAGTTTACCACAATGGGGGAAAGAGTGCATTAGCACCCTGCACCCATAGCCTTGCGCCCATTTCTATGAATGCATGTTACCCCACCTTTTGCAGTGCCTTGGCATGTCGAGGATTACTGTGATGGATGGTCTGAGGGAGCATTGTGGAAAAGAATATAAGGTGGCACTAACAAACAAAAAGTTTAACATAATAACAAAAATATTTATTTCTATCGTGTATTATATCATACAATTTCATATCATACAATTGTAATAATTGTACAAAATGCATGTCATACAATTTTGCTTACTTAATATACTTACCTTGCAGGACCGTGGATATTTGGTCGACTGGTACAAGAGAGAATCGGCATTTCCCTATTGTATGGCATTTATGTCGAGGGTAAATGGATTCCGGAAAAATTTTCATATGCTATTGCATTTATGGATGTAAGTGTTTTTAAATCTTCCTTTGTTCTTGTTGAGTTTTAAACTTGTTTTCTTTGTGGCAACAAATTTGGTGTAGAGTGAAACATACTTTAATTACTAATATTTATGATGATCAAGATATTATCAGTATTATCATAGATATGATCACTGATTTTTGTTTTAGAGGCCCTCATAAGTTAGACAGTAGGGGTTATTCAAGGGGTTGGCAGAGGGGCAGAGGCAGGAATACATCACCTATAAACTACTACCCAAGTCATTTACATTCAGAATATTTTTGATCTGTTAATCTTGGGTTTTAATGCAATAGATATCATAAATCAATATATTCTGTTCATAATTTAATATTTTTCTTCATTTCAGATGTTATTTATTCAATTACCAATTACAATATTTCTTGCCGCTTGCATTTCTCATCATAAGAACAAAACAATTCAACGAGTTCGATTCAAATCAGGACCAATTGTCAACTTCGTTAAATCTATTTTTAAACTCATTGGCTGGTTAATATGTTACGCCATTTTAATTCCCGCGGTAGGATGGCAGTGGTACGAGTGCGTATGCATACGACGTTGTTATGGAGATCTAGGTTTATTCCTATCGCCTGTATTTCTTTGGCGGTATTTCTTATTTTTTCTTCTGATTTTTAGAGCACACTTTTTTGGAGTAAAACCTTTAGTGAATGCTAGCAATGGTAAATCATAATTCGATGTCACAGGGGTTTGTAGTATTTTGATAAATACTAAAGTTTTATTATTTAAGAATCTGTCTGTGTCAAACTAATCAACTCCAAAATATTTTGATTGCTTGCTTTTATTCAAGTAAGTTATATATTTAAAAGTAGAATAAAATAATATATTCCTACTAATTAATACCGTTATTAGGAGTGATGTTATTCCCTACCTGATGTATTATTGACATCATCAAAAGACCGTTACACTACCCACAGCTTCTTAGGTAAAGGGTAGGAGAATAACCCATAACTTGCAGCGTCATTGTGCTAAATTGCGTATGGTGATTGAAATTCAACATTAGGCCACTAAGCGCAATCTTAGTGGTGTCGGGGTTTTTAGGATAGGAAGGCAGGCTAGTAATCTGTAGGTAAAGGGCTCGAATCCCATCTGAATCACTTGCAAGATTTTTTTTTGCATGCATTTAAGAATGTACTGAGTATTCAGTATGGTAACACGTCAGGTAGTGCAAAACATCACTCCTATTAAATTTCCTGATGCAAAACAACATCGAAATACTGTTATTATTTGCATAGATCCTTAAAATGGCTGGTAATAAATTTAAGGAATTTTTAAGTAAAAGTCTGTAAATTATTGAAAAATAGATTCTTTTGAGCCCTGGTTTTATTGAAAGTTAATAACGTATTCATAGGCAGATTCAGGGTGGGGGTAGTTGACCCAGCTTTCACCCCTTTCCCCCCCCCCCCCCAATTTTTTGAAGTAAACAAAATGGAGGAAAAAGAAAATTTCATTAGATTTTTAGTCTGAGAGTTACATTTAGAAGTAGAAATACATTTTTGTACCTTGGCCCCAACCATGGTTTAGCTGATGTGGGCCCACCCTCCCTCTCTAATTTCATAATTTTAAATAGAGCTATTCAATATCTGATTTATTATTTTGGGGTTAGAGATATTGCCACAGAGATTAAATTTTTAATACCTGTTTTCAAGGTGAAATATGGTTTATAAGTTTGGTATAAAATTTGTTTTTTTTAATGTAAATCTTCAGTTCATGTGTGCAAACCTACATTAGCTGCTTCACTGTATTCGCTTTCAAATATTTCCAAATATAAAGTAATCATTGTGAAGGGTGTGTACCCATTTAATTTAATATGAACTACCGTACTATTTCAGGTGATAATGATATACAAATTAAAGTTTTATGTGTAACAAATCAAATTCATCATTTGTGAATGATTTTATATTATAAATATTTGTATATTAGGATTATGAATATATTATTTCCAAAATGTAATTAATGCAATAAATAAAAATAATTCTTGGGCTGTAGATTAGTAACTGAGAATGTTGTGTTGGTCCCTAGGTCAGCCACAGTGCCCCTTTGTGGTAAACGTGACAATTAAATCCCTCTCTCTGAATATTGTATGTATTCTTAAACTTGCACATGGGACATAATCTTTTTTATATTGTTTGAAAGTTTACATGGTGAATAAACAATTAGTATGTGCCATGCTTTACAAAGGGCCAACAGCTTTAAAAGAGAACTAGCAAAATGATTTTTTGTTCTAGAGGAGATTTTTGATATGCCATTATATGTATATAATATATGTGCATGCTGTAACCATGGTTGTTGTAACTTGCATATAGGCCTATAACTGCATCAGCGGTTGTCAACAGAAGAGTTACAGCTATGGTTACAGCATGCACGCAAAGATCGTACGCGGCGGATACCCTACGTGGTTTTATTTACACGATCTTTTGTTACTTATTTCGCCAGTGACGTCACGATTAAATTGTATATAATGACCTATAACTCCATAAGAAATTGCCAAAAAACGATTTTAAGGTTGATTATATTATAAATGGCATATCAAAATTCCCCTCTAGAACAAAAAATCATTTTGCTAGTTCTCTTTTAAATGTCTTGTTCCTAACAATGGTGCACTAGAACTCGGTTTTTGCTTACAGGAAGAGCAGCGCGACAGAATAGTACCAAAAACTCAAACCTCTGCATGGTCTAATACACATGAGGTTACATTCTACTGTATATGCTGCTCTCTCTGAAATTATATAATATCGTACATACATTATTGGTGTATATTGATATAGCACTGTTACATTTTCATCATAGCAATTAAGTAACAAATAATTAGCCTTTGACCTTGCATTATAAATCAGGTAAATGACTTATAATTCAAACCAGGGACACCTCTAGATGTTTTAATGAATATTTATAAGTATATTGATTGGTATTCATAAATATGTATTTATGCACATAAAATGTATTATTAATGTCATGATATTTTAAAAAGTACAATCTATTGTGAAACAGTACTTAACTCAGAAGAGTTTGACCTCCAAGAGGTGTCAACATCAACTGAATGGGTAATTCTGTTACAATTTCTAATAGAAACCCACTGCCGATGCTTTAATAATAACTCATCTTAAAATGTATTCTATAATAATGACACACTACTCTAATAGTAACCCAGTGGTATTACTATTGGAATGCCAAAACTGTGTCTTGAAATGGCTTGATGATGTGGGAGGGTGCGAAGTTAGAAAGGGGAGGGGCTCGATGATTAAATGTGAGGCACTAGCTTGCAAAATCAGGTGATTTTTAACTACTTGAACATGATTTTTTTTTTTCGAACATTTCCAAAGGTGTGTCTGTGGGGATGGGGGAATCAGGTGATTTTTAACAACTTGGAACATATTTTTTTTTTCGAACATTTCCAATGGTGTATGTGTGTGGGTGGGGGGGGGGCTCCAATAATGCTACCATGCCTACATGTATACCTGGTGTTATCCCTACTGAATATGATTTGTTTTGAATATAATAAAGAAAAAAAATCAACAATCTAACTTGCAAGTTACACCCAAGAAACATTGGTGGGATATTACATTTGAATGCCCAATGCATGGTTAATAATTTTGAACCAAATACAGTACTTTATTAGTAACCCATACTTTAAATGAATAATAGAATAGTGACCAGGTTTCTATCACAATTTTTATGGTTATAAACTTTTTGAAGTCACCCAAGAGGTCAGTTGATAGTCATTTTTGTTGGAGGTTGAAAGGTTCCGAGAAAGTACTGCACTTCATTCCATATTTGCTTCTACAATTAAATACAATTCAATTCATTTTGTCTTTCTTAAAAAACAACAGTAATCAAAGCTAAATGACATTCATGGTGTATCAAGTATTATTAATAATTTATTGGGCATTAAACAGTCTGTGAGCTGCATGATTTGATAAAGAATTAGTTATGATATTAATTAAATTAATTTGTATGAAAAATGAAAAAATTGCATTTATATAAGTTTTGTTAATAAGGTTTATGGTCTAATACACATGAGGTTACATTCTACTGTATATGCTGCTCTCTCTGAAATTATATAATATCGTACATACATTATTGGTGTATATTGATATAGCACTGTTACATTTTCATCATAGCAATTAAGTAACAAATAATTAGCCTTTGACCTTGCATTATAAATCAGGTAAATGACTTATAATTCAAACCAGGGACACCTCTAGATGTTTTAATGAATATTTATAAGTATATTGATTGGTATTCATAAATATGTATTTATGCACATAAAATGTATTATTAATGTCATGATATTTTAAAAAGTACAATCTATTGTGAAACAGTACTAACTCAGAAGAGTTTGACCTCCAAGAGATGTCAACATCAACTGAATGGGCAATTCTGTTGCAACTTCTAATAGAAACCCACTGCCAATGCTTTAATAATAACTCATCTTAAAATGTATTCTTTAATAATGACCCACTACTCTAATAGTAACCCAGTTGTATTACTATTGGAATGCCAAAACTGTGGCTTCTTTAAGAGTCTTGAAATGGTGTGATGCTGGGGGAGGGCGTGAAGTTAGAGCGGGGAGGGGCTCGATGATTAAGTGCGGGGCACTAGCTTGCAAAATCAGGTGATTTTTAACTACTTGATCATTTTTTTTTTTTTTTTTGAACATTTCCAATGGTGTATGTGTGTGGGGGGGGGGGGCGCTCCACTAATGCTACCATGCCTACATGTAAACCTGGTGATATCCCTACTGAATATGATTTGTTTTGAATATAATAAAGGAAAAAAAACAACAATCTAACTTGGGAGTTGATGCAAGTTACACCCAAGAATCATTGGTGGGATATTACATTCCAATGCCCAATTTATGGTTAATAATAGTGAACCAAATACAGTACTCTATTAGTAACCCATACTTTAAACGAATAATGGAATAGTGACCAGGTTTCTATCACAAGTTTTATGGTTATAAACTTTTTGAAATCACCCAAGAGGTCAGTTGATAGTCATTTTTGTTGGAGGTTGAAAGGTTCCGAGAAAGTACTGCACTTCATTCCATATTTGCTTCTACAATTAAATACAATTCAATTCATTTTGTCTTTCTTTAAAAACAACAGTAATCAAAGCTAAATGACATTCATGGTGTATCAAGTATTATTAATAATTTATTGGGCATTAAACAGTCTGTTAGCTGCATGATTTGATAAAGAATTAGTTATGATATTAATTAAATTAATTTGTATGAAAAATGAAAAAAATTGCATTTATATAAGTTTTGTTAATAAGGTTTATTACTATGAGCTTGAGGGTTTGATAAAGAATTGACGATGTTATTGATTTAAATTTTCATATATGCAAGTTTTGTTATTAAGGTTTATTATTTTAAAAACCATCTTAAAAGGCAATACAAAGTTGTAATATTAGTTAGCTTGTTTTAGGATCAAATGATCAATTATAAAAATTAGTTTAGTGGTTGAAATCATCAAGTTTATCCTGACCGATATTAACTTTGTTTAGGAATCTAGTAAAGAAATTTGTCCCCTGTTATAACTGGAACTTTATCAATGTTATTTTTAAAATCATGGAGTTAAATCATATTTAACTATATCTGTAAAGAAATTTGTCCCTGTTATAACTGGAACTTTATCAATATTATTTCTAACATCGTGGAGTTCAACTATGTCTGAAATTGTGGCCCTTGTCTGTTGTTTCCCCACGCCCTCTTTTATGTTTGGTTTAGGGTTAATACATGACCACTTTTATGTCCATGATCACCAGGGAAGAAAAGCACATTTCAACATAATTTTAAAAAGGAACTACGCAAGCCATGGTGATTTATATGATTTTAAGTATTAATAGGACAAATCATCATTCACTTTTATTACAAATTCCAAAAACAAGGAATAATTTATACAAATACCAATATTGATATTGTATTGTACTCACAAAAAATATTCCAATAAAGACTGCCTCTGGTACGGGCCTGCTCTAGTAGTGTTTTTTTAGAAATGAGGGGAAGATTAAGTGAGGGGTACCAGCTTGCAAAATAAGGTGATTTTTAACTAGAGTGTAATTTTTTTGCTTTGATCATTTCTAGTGGGGACGGTACAAGTATTTTTTCTAGATACGCCCTGCTTATGCATGTCTGTGCCTTGCATTAATCTTCCAACATCTGTGCACACCTCATTGGTTGTTATCTCTGCTATTGACATAAATTCAGTATGCAATAAAATTTACCAGCTAAGTTGTTGTTTCTGTAAATCAATGCGAGTGAAAACTTGGTGGTTACATGACTGTCACCATGTTTCATATTCCTGTGTTCCATCTTAGCTAATTATTTTTTCAACAAAAAAATCCCATTTCAAAACCCTTAATCGTCTCTGTTGAACAGTGATGTTGAAATTAAAGAATATTAAATCACAATTTAAACAAAACTATTGGTGACTGAAAGATTTTTCCCACAAGGCCGAAATTAACTCCATCCAACATTTTAGATACTTTTATCATCTTCTTCATCCTCATCATAAATTCCTTTGGATCAACCAAAAAAAACAAAAAAAAATGACATACTAGAAAAACATTTTGAAACTTGCAAGATTTATTTAATTATCAACTGTCATTCAGTTATTTTCGTTATTTAATTGTTTATTTTTAGTTTATCTTTTTAAAGGCAACCAGATGAAACTTTTCCATACCATCATCATTATGATGGCATTATCTGTCATGCCAATGTGCATTATCCAGGTTTTTGCAAATGGCTGCTATCCTTTGACAGAGCTAAGGGACTATTAAATACTCTATATGGCACCAAGCATGTAAAAAAGCAACCAGAAAACAAATAGGTCTTAAGTTGTGACTTAAGTTTGCAAGGAGAAATAGAAGTTAAAACATTTTGAAGCTTTTTCTAAAGAAAGGTTAAACATAAGTGATGAAACACTTGTACAATACTAAGAAACAGAAAGTGAAACCAACTCATTACTGATATTATTCCAGCCTCGACAAATACATAAATTAATATTTAAAAAAAAACTAAGCCAAAAATTAATTACAAATGCTACAAATATATTAAGAGTAAAAACTTGATGCCTTTAAAAAATGCAATATTCAATAAAGTATATTGCCTTCCCACAATTAAAATGATTGCTTACATATGCATATAAATAATTCTTTTTTAAGTTATCCTGCTTTGGCATAAATTAGAAATAGGAATTTATTCCAAAGCAGTGGTATTATATACTAAATATTCTTTTCGTTTCTAAATGTTTTAAAAATTTGAAATTTAGAATGAAAAAAGCATGCCAAAATATAAAGTAAACTGTAGTAAAAATAGGTCGACTTACTTACTCTGGTCTACTTGTATATAAAACAAGATGACACCATATGAATTGTCAACAATTCTAGTAAGTTGTAGTCTGATCCAAACATCAACTTTATTTTATAAGATCTTGATATTGCCCTGTGCAGACTATCAAATTTCATTTGACAAAAACCTGTGACATGCCTAAATATGGTCATGATGACATCACAACATGACCATATATAGGCACATCATGACTATATATGGGCATATAACTTTTTTTTTGTCAAAGAAAATTTGATCATCGGGACAGAGCTTAAGCTCAGTCTACACTATAAAATTTCATGTGACAAATTCGCGTGATGTCCCCATATTTTTTTTAATTTTTATTTCATTCATATTCAACAGCAAGTAACTTGCCAATGGACCTTTCTGGTAAGCCCCGCCCCTTTGATATTGTTGCCAAGGTCCCACAAGACGACAGTGTTAAAACAAACACGTGCGTTTGTGGGACAACACGTGTGTTTGTCAGACGCGCGCGTATTCCTAGCGCTGTTCTGATTAGTCAGTAGTTAGTTTGATTGACACTCCGGAAAGGTCTATTACAAGATGGAGCATAGGGGCATGATAATGTCATATTACACCCGAATATGGGCATAATGACATTTATTTGTCATAAAATTTTATAGTGTGGACAATACAGTATTACCCAGATGTCACCTTGGGGATTTATATATGGGAGAGATAAATGAACTTGAGCCACCTCTGAAGCCAATTAGAAATGTTTAAGATCACTGCTTTACGTGATCACCGTCTAGGCATAAAGGACATCATAGTGTCCGGGACGATAGAGAAGGGTCATCTTAGGTTCGCTATCTTCTGGGAAGTCGTGGTGGTTAGCTTTTTCAGCACTGCCCCGGTCAAGATACACAACACGGACACCAACTTGCAGCTTAGAGCTTAGCGCTATGATGTGTATATGATCACTTTCTTTGGCCATTGGTTCAACTTCCTGTAGGAAACAGGAAAAAGAATCATGGAATTAAAATAGTAAACACCAATTATAGAGTAATATTGACAAACATATTTATCATTAGATTTTAATTAAGAAACATTTTTCTTATACTGCAGTGATATGTACTGATATGTGGATTGAAAATTTACAAAATAAAAGTTGAATTGAATTAACAAATGCATGGATAATAGTACTCCTTTCTATATTCTTTGCACAACCCTTAATTTGGCTGATAATCAGAATAAAGATTTTCATAGTAAAAGTCTGCAGTGGCATATCTTGGAGTGATTGACTTTTGGGGGGGGGGGGGTAATAGGGCCGCAAAGGCTAAGTGTTGAAGGAGATTGATAATTAAGTGATGAAGATTTAGCTGCCAAAGTAAAGGGAAATGAGGTGACTTTTATAAATATTGCATAATTTTTTGCTCAGCAAATTTCTAGCCCATATATGGGCACATAAACAAATTTGTCACATAAAATTTTAAAGTGTTTACAAAGCTTTAGTAACATAAACATCTACTGTATATATGAAACTAACAAATAATAAGGCTAAGCACATGTTTATCCTTGACATGGCACGTAATCCATGTTGTATCAAGTGTTCAATTTCCAGCTTTTTTGTGTGTAGCAAATAGCACTTTGCACTTTTTGTTTTGTGTAGCAATTCCAAAATTGTGCGTAGCTTTTTTTTCTGCGGTGATAATGAATGATTAATAAAGAAAAGAAATGACACTTTTTTCAATAAGAAAATCACAGTGATGCGTCTTTATTTTTCAACACTAAAATATGAGTTAATATTGTAAACACAGGAAAGTAGACCGACTTGCATGAACAATGATATAGGCCTACATATAGCATTGTATGTATGTACTCAATGTAAACAAGAATATTGCACTATTTTTTACCAAAAATATTGGATAACAACTTGACTTTGACTGTTTTTAAAACTATTTTCAGGACTTTTTTGAGCACCGAGCCTCTTAGTTTTTACAGCCAGGCCTTGCTGAAGGCCGAGCCAGTAATTCTAGGCAAATAATTGCGTCACGTTTATTGTGATGCATTGTGAAAGTGCTTCACATTCAGTTTTAAACGCATTGCATTTTACGATGCGATAGTGGGTAAATCGAACGCTGGTTGTATCTCTAGAGTATAAGTAGATTTCTGGTAGATGTGAAATGTCAATGCCCTGATTACGAGCAGCAACATATGGAATTCTCCCCTGGGAGCTGAGTATGTGTTCCATAGGTGTTTGGAGCAATGATTCATAATGCTGATTAATCTGCAATGGAATACGCTATTCCTTCCAGTGAAATGCACAAATCCATAGGATACTTTGTGAAGTCAACTCATCCCCTAACAAACTCGCAAAAATACATGGCTAATGTACGAATTAATGTACAAAATGTGGATTTTCTAAACATCATAAATATTTTGGGCTCATTCATTGCAAAAAAATGATAGTCAGCCCTAAATTTTGTGTTGGTTGGTGGTAACACAAGTACCTTACCTGTATAACTCTTCTTTGTCTGACAAAAGGTACTCCATATAAGCAAATCCAAATGATCTGAAGAAACAGTTACCATCTGGCCTAGATTTCCTAACATAGCGACAACGCCCTCTAAGTTCCTTAAAAACAAAATAAAAAACAATACAACCACCAATGTTTTGTGAACATTATCAATATCATTACCATCAGATCATCATTATAGTACTGTACATAATTATCATAATAAGAATAATAACAGCAACTATAATTAAAACATAACAAAATTGATGATGATGATGATGATGATGATAACATCAAATGGTTATCATAATAAGCATAGTATTATCACAGTAAATGATGGCAACAGTTAGACATGTTTATGTTTTTAAGGAATTTAATTTATCCATTTTAGACTAAAGAGGATGAATGTAATTATGTGGTGTACATCTATCATTGAATATAATTGTCACCTTATATTTGAAATCCTTGACGTTTACCCTCGCCATCATCAACTTAAGTGAGTAATTGGTTATACTGGCTTAACTTTCTGTCTAAACTTAAGCTTTTTTATTCATAAAACTGAAAAATGTACAAGACCGTAAAGGCGGGCACTCCTTGTGTCGTACGACTGTCGGCCAACTAATGTTGTGCATATGACATTGTGTTTGCCATAGAATCGCATTGGCCGACGACTGTCACAGTGAATGCCCGACTCTAAACTTACCCTAATCTTTTGTTGGTAAACCTCATCATCAGCATACTGTTCAAGCAGTGATGACAAGTCTTCCTTAGCACCAATCAAACTAGTGTTTTCCTTGATCTAAAAAAACAATGATATTTATAGGACCAACAAAGACAGAAACAAACCAGTGTTTTGCCAATTCCTTTGAATGCCATAGGAGAAGAAGATGGTTTGGGAGGGGTGTCTCTTTCCTACAGTTGTAGTCCAGGGGTTTATACACCCTTGAAGTTCCGGGTTTTAGCCAAAATACTTGTGCAACAGTGATAAAAATACCAAAGTTTTTTTACCAATTTTTTAATATTTGTGAGGTCTCACCACGAAATGAAACGCATCGTTGGTGAAATCATATTGAGATATTCACCAAAACAGGCCAAAGTCAATATTTTAAAAAAATATTGATTTTAATGTTTTTGAATAACTTGATACTTATATTTTATTATTGTATACTTTGTAAGTGAATTTTCTTGCTAAAACAGTGTTTTGTGCACATATTCTGTAAGTCTAGTCATATTATTTGTACAGGTTAGTTTATCTTTGAGATCAATTTTCTCAAAACGTGGTTCTTATACACCTAACCTTTAAATGCTCACATCTCTGGATTTACTTATAGTAGGGAAGCCATTCAAAATGAAAGCTTATAATGTGATATACCCAAATATAATATAAACTCAATTTTTGAATTTCTAACCATGAGACTCATTTTGTGGTGAGACCTCACTTGTGAAAATTAGGAATTAATGTCCATGCCTCTGCTGTAATAGATGGTCCATGCCTCATTACATACCTCATTTTGGATTCGATCTTCCTGTGCAATTATATCTTCATCTTTAGCTCTTCCTATAAATCAAAATTTAGCAACAAAATATGAATTAATAAACGGGGCCAAACTATATATAAAGGAAGTGGATATGTTTATGTTACCGTAAACAAATCAGCAAACGACATATTTAGGCAAAATAAATAACGCATGTGCAGTCATACCGTACTTTAATAAACTTGCATTATTGGCCACGTAAATTTATCAATTAGTGGTTAAATGTACGTTAATGTGAGTTCAACTTTCAGCACTCGAAATTAGCGTTGGACCAAGCCGCAGTGGCCAAACTCACCATGGCACTGATTTGCTGAGGCCTTTTTGTTGGCAAGATAAATTTATGAATGTAAATATATATAGGCCTAGGCCTAGGCCTCTAGGGCCTATCCACTTCCATACATAAAATAAACGGCATAAAAACTTAGGCTTCCTACAGGTTAATTACCTTTTAACCAATTTGCAGCCATTTCGCAAACTTTGGGCATTATGGGAAAAGAAGTTGAATACATTTTGGGCTAGGACAAGGACTATGCCTAGGGCTTGTTGTGCCTCCCCATGGATGCTCCCCGACCGCTTTGATGCGTGAGAATAGTTTCGATAACCCAAGGAGGTTTATTTTAACCTCCTTGCTTGGATAACCTAGCTAGGCCTAGCGCATTATTAGCATACATACAGGAAAACACAGATGTTCTCTATCTAGGCCTATTTTCGAATGTCCCGTAGCTCTTCTTCTCAAATTTAACAAATTTCTGTATCTTTAAAAAATATACTCACCGATATCTGATATTATATCTGGCTCAGATAACTTTATTTTCTTCTCATTACTTGAACTGTCTGCTTCTAAATTTGCGTTGTCTGCCATTTTACATTTGTCTGGCGATTCGTTTTTGTTGTTGATTGTTTTGGTCGGTCAAGGGTCAGATTGATTGATTGACGTACGTCTGGTCAATCTATTCATTCCTTCGTTCTTTTTCATTTCTTTATTTGTAAACTTGTTCGCTTATTCATTTATGATACTTTATTCACTTACTTTTTTTTTCTTTTTTAAAGGATTTATACCGTATTTTGGCATTCAATATTCACCGGTAACTATAATTTATTTGCGCTTTATGAAGAAAATATATATATAGTTTCAGGGAGACTTGGTGAGGATTCACCTACCGTAAAACCTCGAATAGAAGCTCCATGGGCTTAATCCCGAGAAGAAGCCCACCTCAAAAAGAAGTCCGCTCTTCAGTTTGTAAAATTAATCTCGAAATGAAGCCCATGGGCTTCTAATCAAGATAAAGGCCTTCTTTCGAGATAGTACTTACATTCAGACTGTTATGATTATGGTAGTGTGTCAGTATCAATATTATTTATTGTACTATCAGGCAGGTATAAAAATATTATTTTTATACCTCCCTGGTACTAGTATGGTCAAAATGTTCGTGTTCCATAGTTGAAAAATGTCGTATAGTAGCAAATCCAAAATTTACAGCATTTATTTTGAAAAGAAGCCACCTTTTTAGTTTGCAAAAGTAGTCTAAAAAAGAGTCCGATCTCGAGAAGAAGAAAAAAAAAAAAAAAAAAAAAAAAAAAAAAAAAAACTCATCCAAGTACAGGGTTTTTATTCGAGTTTTTACAATATACCGGTACAGTACTTTATCAACCCGATAAACAAACATTAAAATTGAAAGCAACAATGTATCAAACACGACGACAGTAAATACAATCAAAACACCAGGATCAACTTCCATCAAGAAAGTATTTGTTTCTCTAAAAGAATTAGAAATTTATTTTTCAATAATTCGTTCAATCATTTATGTTCATCTATATTAATTTCATTATTAATAAATCTAATTTCTTTACTCTCTTTTGTTGTTTTATGTAGGCATTCATCATAGTCACAGAGACATTTCGATACATAGTCTGTGGAAAGGGGCACAGAGTAGCTTCCCCACCCCGCCATCTCTCCCCAAAAAGGCCTGTGCCCCCCACCCCCACTCCATCAACCCACCGAAAATTTACTGAGCAAAAAAATTACACTCAAGATAAAAATCCCCTACGTTTTTTGCCAGCACCACCCCCACACAATCCTATCCCACAAACCTCGCGCCGCATCAGCTCCTCCGTGTCAATACTCCTACTGACTCGTGAAAAAGACCCTTAAAAATTAAATGAAAACATTTATTTGTTTAGGAATACGAGCAACGTTACCAACTCCAATGGGAACCAGATTGACACAAATTCATTTTTTACTGACTTAGCAACAAATGTTTTACTACCAAAATACGCATGAAAGCAGACTTTAAGGGGCTTATCATTGGAGCACTGTTCCACGTGATATTGGTAATATTGCAACAGAACTATAGCTGTTCCGTGTCAAAAATAGAATAAATCATCCCTTTAATTACTTTGTACTTTTAAAATTATATTTTTATGTAACGCTATAAACTCTATAGCGCCCTCTCACATTACTTTTCAAATAATTTGAATAACAGGTGGTCAATTAAAACCGATTTTTGTTTTGTTGGTGTATATATCACGCCTGTAAAAATGTTTTTTTTTTTTCCTCAGCGCTTTATATTTAGAATGAGACTTATGTAAGTGAATGTCAAAATAATTTGAATACTGGGTTTTCTTCATCTTAGAAGTGTGCGTTCGCCTCAGCGAACATACCAGGGAACAGTGGAATTGTAATTTCACTGTTCCCTGGAACATACATCCCAATAGACCTGGTATTATTTATTGGGAACCAACAATCTAAATGCAAGTGTTAAAATCATTTGGTTGCTAATAAGGTTTCATTTTAATATCATGTAAATTCTTTCTATATTTTTCGAAAGCAATCTGATTTTCAATTGCTACCGTTCTTTTATTTTTATTTTCTTTTTACATTATTTAAAGTGATTAAAGAACGCCGGGAAAGAACATTTGGTTACAATTCATGTAGGCCTACATCTTTGCTATAATCGTGAATGTATTTATTGCATCATAGATGTCTTGTTTCTACGCCAAAAAAATAGATGATATTGATCGGTATTTTGAGAATAACCTTGAAATATTTTATGTCTTGACGGTTCAAATAATTGCCAAAAAAATGTTAAACCTCTGTCTCTACATTAAAAAACTAAATGCGATATTGTTTGAAAGCAAGTAACTTTGGCTTTCTTTGAACGTGATAATAATGTTGTATTCGCGATAGGTGTCTATAATGATAACCAGTGGAGATTTAAGGAATTCTGTACGTAAGACCACGGAGAAAATGTATTCATATATTTTCTCCATGGTAAGTTGAAGATAAATGTATTATTCTAATATAGAAAGACACGTGGGCGATGTCATAAAACCCAAACAATTTATAACGTTGTATTGATTATTTAATGTCTAGTCAATGTCACCAGACTAGGCCTAATATAACACGAGCAACATTATGCTTTTGATGAGTGGTGATACGATACAACGAAGGTATAACAGACGATGATGATGATAACCGCATCTAGGATGGAGATGAATGAAGATGGATGATGATGATGATAATGATGATGATGATGATGATGATGATGATGATGATGATGATGATGATGATGATAATGACGACGAACATGAACAGACGATGGTGATTATAATTGCAACAATTAAGGATGACGATGGAGATGAAATGACGATGATGATACCCAACGTTGATCATGACCTAACCTTACATGTAATTTTTTTAAGCCTATTTTATTCGAACAATTACAATACAAAACAAAATATTTTCTAAAAGTGAGGATGCCGTGATAAAAAGAAAGCCGGCAACGACGATACAGCGAGGAAGACGTGGACGACAACGACGACGATAATGATGTTCACGACAAGCATGATAAAATAATGATAATCAATTTTATGAAGACGTAGGCCTATACACCTACAATAGGCCTATATAAGAGAATTTTATTATACAATATTATTATCAGTATTATTATTATTATTATTATTATTATTATTATTATTATTATTATTATTATTATTATTATTATTATTATTATTATCATTATTATTATTATTATTATTATTATTTTTATTATTATTATTATTACTACTACTACTACTAGTATTATTATCATTATCATTATCATTAGCGTTATCTTTATTGCTTTTGTTGACGTTATTGGTATCGTTATTGTCATCATCACCAGTATTATCACAATCTTCCTTTATCATTATCATCATTGTCATTGTTCTTATTCATCATTATTATTCATTGTTCATACGAGCATTGTATATTACCTTACTTATTAGTTCTATTCATTTTTCATAATGTTTTAAATGCTGAGTTTACTGTGATACAAAGAAATCAATGAAATTATATAATGAAGTCTGCGAGTAATTTGAGATGAGACGAACTGTTGCTATGAACAACAAGTGAGCCTCCTATTGATAAAAATGTCACTTTTTCCCTGTTCTTTAAGTGAACGTTTCCACAGTTCGTCTTTCTGATTGGTCGATCAGAATTTTCTTCCATGGTGGTGAAAATGATAAGTGTTGATGGTTGGCCGACTCTGAAAAATCTATGATCATTATGTGAGTGGAAATTCGGTGCTATTTTTTTACTATTTCGATGACATCTTGGGCTGGAAGTGAGTAAGATTTTCCTGTATTTAATTCTTATAAATGCACGTTGCATTTGGAATGATATTTGTGTATTATTTCGCATTCAAAGTATTTTCTAACCGCAACATTGCTAAAATGATGGACGGGATTCTGTCCGTGGTGTCTGCGGCAGCGACTTCATTGCTTAGCGGTTCGCCGCGGATGATGTTGGTCGATAACCGGCATCTTTTTTGTTGTCTGCCTCCTCGGAATTTGTTATATCGTCAGGAATTAAAAATGCAGATGGATCAATGTATTTTTTATATTGTAAATATCGCTCTGCCTACTTGGAATTTCATCTTAAAATTCACTTCCTTCCAAGTGATGATGCATGCGAGGAAAATGGGATGATCTCAGTACCGTACTTATCCATCTTTATCGTTCTTGGTTCCCGTCTTGTCAAATATTGGCATTTGGCAAAATCATTGCTATGTATTCGCTGCACGATCTATCAGAATGCGCCTTCTTATTTATTTAATTACAGTATTATATATCAAAAAGGGCTGTGTTGTGTACAAGTATGTGTCTAAATTAAACTGTTCAGAAAGAAAAGTGAATGACAAAAATCACACCCATATCCATTAATTCTCTTTTGGATGGAGCGGGGTGAGGGATTGGATGGGTGATTGGGGGTGGGGAATGGGGTGGAGAAATCTTGATGTATATCAATTAAATGACCCATAGCATAAGATAATGAGTGATTAATAGATCTTATGAGCGCATGTGTACAGACCCTTTTGGGAATAGTTTTTTTGGGGGATGGGGATGAGGGGGTTGTGGGTGTGAATATTTAACTGTAGGCCTATGTAATGAAAAAATAATAATTACAATGCTTAATTTGCAAATTTTTTAAAGCTGTCTTTTTAGCAGATGTTGTGACACTTAATTTATTGTAGCATATAGCAAAATGGAGCTTGAGCCGAGTATAATCATTTTGATGGTTTAGAATTGGTAGAAAACATGTAACTCTGATGTGGTTCGGTATCCAGTTTTGTTTTGTTTTTGTTTTTTTAGTACTGTATAAATAATTATTCACATTTAGAATGAGAGTGGTAAGGGGTGGTAGACGTCACTGTCAGTGGCTTGTAGACCAGCGATTCTGAATATACTGGTTCGACCAAAAATTGTGTCACCAAATAAATTATTCTATGAATTTCACTTTCATGCTAAAACTTGCTGTAATAAAGAGTGGGTTTTCTAAGTATTATATAATCTTTTAATTCAGTTTTGTTTACCATAATTGACCCATTTTGAGTATTTGTCTTTTAGTAATTGTCCTGGAAAATGGGTCGCTGGAAATTGCCTA